TGACTTTTTAAAATTATATTTACCAGATTTTTACCTGAGCCATCTATTGAATAATGAATGCATGATGTTGGTGACTTTATAAACCTGTGCCAGTATTTATTATTGTAACGCTTTATCTCGACAAATTCCGAAAATGAAAATTTTTTCTAAGACTTCTATTTCATCCTATAATTATTCTTAACTAGAATCAGCTTTATCTAAGATGTCTCAATCTCCACAACCAATCGTACCTTTATTTGTTTCAGTGTCTGAAGCCTGGCTTATTCTCCTGGGAGACAGCTGGTCAGAAAACAGCTTGGTTGGAAACATAATCCTGGGAAAGACTGTATTCAAATCAATGGAAAACCCAAACTCATCCATAAGAGTAAAAAGAAAAATTCAGAAAACCAACCTGGTTGTCATTAACACACCAGATCTGCTTCATCCTCGGACGCCAGAAGAAAGACTAAAAGTAGAAGTAGACTCTTATTTGAGACTTTGTGCTTCAATTCCTCATCTGCTTCTGTTGGTTGTTCAGCCTGAAAACTTCACAGAGGAACAGAAAGAGAGGTTCTACAAAGTCTCTAAACTTTTTGGCCATCAGTCATTTGATAGAACACTAGTTCTGATATCAACATCTACACAGAAGATTCCAAGTGCAAATGAAGACTTAAACGACGTGGTCAAAAGATGCGGAGACAATTCACTCATCCTGGAGGAAAATGATCATGACACGTTGCTCAGGAAAATCTGCAACAGTTTAGAAAAGAGAAAGGACACAAGCATAGGCTTTCAATATCTAGGAATAAAACAACAAAGAGAAGTTTTTTCAGCTTCTGTTGCTGCCCGTGGTGCTGGTAGGTGTTGATGCATATTTTCACACATCTTGGATTTGTCTACCAAACATCAATTTTAAGAACTTTATTTTCATGTTGAAAGAAATTTTAATACGTTTCTTCCCCACAAGCTCCATACAACATCAACAATAAGAAAGCTGTGAAAGTAAATCACAAATAAGCACAAACCATAAAAAAGAAACATCACAAACTATTATAGAGCTAAAATTCTATAGAAACTTAAAATTCTGAATACAAAGGGACTTTTAATTTAAAATCCTGATAGCCAAGGAAATTTAATTTTAAATCCTGATAGCATGTAGCCTCGTGAGACCATCCTGATCTCGCGAGCTTTCAAGGTTTCACTCGCAGATCAGACTGGAGACTCTCCGTTAAAGAAACGAACGTCCAATCAGCGTTGGCTTTAAAGGCGGGTGGAGGTGTGAC